CGACGCGCGTGGAGGACACGTGGAGAATTAGAGACAAAGACAAAGCCCCCCCCCCCTAATTATAGCCTCAACAGATTGTTGCGGGCAAGTGCTGTCAGCTGGAACACCTATGAAGGCCGGCACAGTGCACGAGGGTAGTGGGGGGTGGGGCCAGCAACCACGCCCGGCCGCCTTTGTCTCCCTAGTAGCGCAGCAGGTACTCATTTGAGGCCGAGTCGAGCTAGGGGAGGCCCAGAACCCGTTCGGATACTCGCCACTGGTGTTAGCCGTGAGGATTAGAGAGAGAGATGAGACTCGTACAAGCCACCCTACTAAGTACAGCACTTGTGGAACGTTTTTATCGGCCTAGCTCACACTGCTGTGTAAATTAATATTCTGAGAACGACAACAACAACAACGAAGAGGGTATCTAATGCCCCCCCATGGACGACCCCATTCTTTAAGGAAGTGCGCAGTTTCGAGATTGTTTGCTGGGGGGCCACTTGACCGTGACGACCTCGACAGCAGGAGGCTATCGCGTGAGCGGTGTGCGTGCGAGACAGCCAGAACCTTGACACGTGTCACCGTGACTTATTATCATTATTACCAAACTACGCACGTGTCGCAACTACCATCACCACCATCCCACGTGCGTGTCATCCCCCCCCCCAACAACCCTGCCACTACCAACCACCCACCCACGTGACACAAACTATCCGCCCAACACCATTACCACCAATCCACACACGTGTCACAACCACCCAACAACCACCAACTACTTCCACGATCACCAGTAAAACCACGTGTCAACACTTACACACGCAACGCAATCGCACACGTGGCAAAGACAGCCCTCCCCCGTATAGCTGTTAGCGAGTAGCACCCTATGAAGGCCGGCACGTCACACGACACGGTGGGGTGACAAGCACCACCCCCGGCCGCCTTTGTCTCCCCAGTGGCGATGTTTACCCACGTGTCAACACCACCCACACATGTACACCTTAACCACCATTCACGTGTTACCACCACCAATGTCGCACCACCGCACACGCACCATCACCATCATCACCACCGCACACGCACCATCACCATCATCACCACCGCACACGCACCATCACCATCATCACCACCACCACGACACCATGAACCACTGTCCCTACGTCGCGAGGTGACACGTCATGGCGAGTCGGGGGTGAGACGGAGGGAGGTGGTGGTGGTAATGATTCACTCCGGTAATTCCGCTGCCGCGATTGAACTCCCCGATTCAAATTCGAGAATCGATGAGTGTCTTTGTTGCGCCGCTTGTTGTCACTGGCGCTGCTTGTCGATATTAGCGTCCTCAAAAGGCATTATTAATCGATGATTATTAATCGACGAACACCCACAGAGTGTTCCCACGCGAATTTTTATCAGAATCGATGCACGGCTTGAGCCCCCTTTAAGTAAAAAAACGAATCGAGAACACCGCCTTTAAAAGTACAAAGTGTATAATAGGCGACGTTTCGGACAATGGGGCCACAGAAGCACAGGCAAGCAAGTCCCCTTCAACAGATCGGGCGCACCCACCCAGCGGCACAGAAACTCAAGACACAAAATCAAAACACAAAGCCCTTTGATGCTCGCGTGGTCTGCTCGAGATGCGTGGCGGTGGTGGTGGTAGCGACCACGTGGCAGTAGCTTGGCGCGGGGTCTGCCTACCACGCCCCGCCAAGGGCAGCCAGCCGCCTTTGTCACTCCCCACCCACCCATCCACCAGGCAGCCAGCCAGCCCGCCCCTGTTTGCTAACCACTCATAAGGCTATGGGGGGCTTTTAACAGCGAGCAGTAACAGCGCTACCGCCACAAAACCATCCGCGCCACTCGCGTTTTGAGAGCGAGCCAGGTTCAAATGCGGTCCCGGTGGTCGGCCGGTGGACAATGCGGGTGATTGTGCGTCGCCGGGGAAGCGATCCAAGAAGGGGCCGACGAGTTGGTAGCGCAGTGCGCTTAGCCACATGTGCACACGCGCGAACACACACGTGTGAACACGCGCGTGAACACACGCGCGAACACACGTGCGCGCGCACAAAAAGATGTCCCGTATATTTGGTGTCAGCGAGCACATCATCTTTAAAGGCCGACACCAGCTGGGGGGGGGTGGGGGCAAGCACTTGGCCGCCTTTGTCTTCCCAATTCCGATGTTTGTACACTGCACCAGGCACTCTACTCATATAAGGCCGAGTCGACCTAGGGGAGGATTATTTGACACCGATGTTGGTCGCGAGCGGGGAATCGAACTCGGGTCGCCGGGTTCGTAGCGCAGTGCGCTGAACCGTTGACCCTCCCACTCCACGTGCAAATATCCACCCGTGCATCCCATGCACAGAGGCTGTCATGGCAAGTGCTGTTAGCGAGCACCTATGTACACACACGCACCCCAAACAGCCAACACGTTCACAACTCCGCTCTGTCGGTCGTACACTAGAACACGTTACGGAATCTGCCGTACACCACAAACATAGACAAAAGAAGTCACGTGGCGAAACGATGGCTAGCGTATTTGTTGACACAACAACAAGAAGAAGAGTAACAGCAGCAACAAGAAGACCCCACCGGCCAATTATAGAACCGCGTGACAGGAGGTCCACGTGTGTGTGTGTACTGGGGTCGCGTACACTGCTCAAGGGGAGCGGTGGTGCAGTGGTTAGCGCCGCACTGTGCTACGAATCCGGCGACACCGAGTTTGGAGTCCCGCTCACGACCAACATCGGTGTCGAATATTTGAGCCCGTGCCGGGCCTCCCCTAGGTCGACTCAGCCTCAAACCAGCACCACCTGGTGTGACGTTGAAACGTCTCCAATTTTGGGAGACAAAGGCGGCCCAGCGTGGTGATGGCCACTCACCCCCTCGTGTGCCGTGCCGGCCTTTCATAGGTGCTCGCTAACAGCACTTGCCCCAACAGTCTATTAAAGGCTACACGGGGGGGTTCTTTTGTCTTTGTGTACCGGTCATAAGCACCCCCACCAGCGAACGACGACTCCACGTCCTGCTTGGAATGGGGTTTTATTTTTCTTGGGCCCCTTTGCTGCTGGACGGTACTTTTGTTTTCGGCCCCAGTTTTTCGTAATCCCGGTGAGCCAGGTCACGCTTCTCAAACGAGGATGGGCCCGGTGCTATTTGAGCACAGCGCTCACCAGGGCAGATCGGCGTCAACAAGGGGCTTCATGTCAGCAGGGGACAGGTCCGGAAGCCTATTCCGGTGGAATTCGTTTGGCACCACACGTCCACCACCACCACCACCCCCCACCTCCGCGCCGAAGTTTTGCCCTTGCAATACCGCGGTAGCCTTCGCAGGGACATTGGGTTCACCGTATTTTGGATGGGCGTACCTTGTTTTTAACTCGAGTGGTCAGTGCCTTTTTAACTACGTTTAAGAATCCACCGTGGCTCTAGAGCCGGTCCGTGTAACAGCGGCGTTCCGCAAAAAATATCGAGCGAACAATTTAATCACGCGAGCGAACGGACGTCAAATTCAGACTTGCGCACTCGTGTCCCGTGCACTTCCTCATAGCCCCCCCACTGAGTGATCGCTATGAGTGGGGGGGTAGGGAAGAGTGTGGAGTTGATGGTGATGGAGGAGGAAGGTTGGCAGGGGGGGGGGGGGGTGCCATCGTTAGCACGTTTGAAGTTGCACGGGACACAGTGTGCCACGAAGACTTTGCCGCACTTGAGCCTGGGACACGCATCGTAGCGGTCGCTTGCTGCGTTTTGGTTTCCAGATCGTGTGTTCCCGCGGTGCGGATATATAAAGCTGTCCGCTGGCGTCGGTGACACGGCTCGGAAAAGGGGGTGTCACTGCTGCGTGTTGTGGGCCGCGACGTGTCTGTACGCGTGTCTCTGTGTGTGTGTGCGTGTCTCTGTGTGCGTGTGTGTCTCTGTGTGTGTGTGCGCGTGTGTCTCTGTGTGTGTCTCTGTGTGCGTGTGTGCGTGCGCATGCGCGCGTGGGCGCGTGTGTGCCTGTACGCGTGTCTCTGTGTGTGTGCGTGGATGTGTGCGTGTTTCTGTGTGTGTGTGTGAGTGTTTCTGTGTGTGCGTGTCTCTGTGTGTGTGTGTCTCTGTGTGTGTGCGTGCGCGTGGGTGTGTGCCTGTACGCGGCTTGGACGAGTGTTTGCGTGCGTTCCCGCGGTGTCGTGATACCAGAGTGACTCAAAACGCAGTGGTGTAACGGTGAATTCATCATTTCCTTTGTGTCACCGACACTGCGTGCACACGATACACAGATCATCGCAGGTGCGTGCGAGGAGCTGTCGTGCGGCGACTGGTGCAACGCGTTATGAACCCAGACATCCCAAGTTCGATTCCCGGCCACGGCTGTCTGTACTGCGCCCCCCCCATCCGCCCAAACAAATCCCCTTCCGACCACCCGCATTGACCAGCGTGGAGAAGTATAGTCAAACAATCCTCCCCATGGCCGACACGGTGACAATGTGCCTTCATCCGTGGGATGTGGGCAACAATACCGCATGGCGTCACGAGACCACGTGTGGTCACCCATGCTTTGTAGGGCATTGTGTCTTTTTGCCCTGCCGGCATTCTGCGGGTGTGAGTTTACCTACGGGGTTAGCGCACTGCGCAGCGAACCCCTGCGACCCGAGTTCGAGACCCGCTCAGCGGCTAACATCGGCGACGAACATCTCAACCTGTCCCGGGCCTCCCTAAGGTCGACTCGGCCTTGAATGAGTACGTAGTACTGTGCGTAAACGTCAGCGGTGTTGAGACAATGGAGGCAGAGCGTGGTGCCGGTTACGCAAACCGCCCCTCGTGTGCTGGCACCGGGTTTTTCTTCACGATTGCTCCAACAGCCTTTAGGAGGCTACACGGGGGATCTTTGCTTTTGTCTTGGGTGAGTAAGTTGGCGTGCGGGGTGGAACGTGTTGTCGCGTGTGCCGTTCAGTGAGTGCATGCGTCGGATGAGCGGTGCGTGAGTGTGAGCGTTGCGTGAGTGTGAGCGGTGGTCAAGCCATAGCCACCACGTCGCTCACCTCTGGATCGCCGCTGCGCTTGCCACTCCACGTAGCGCGCTGCTTCGAGGAGTGTCTCGATTCCCATCTCGCGTCTGGGAGCCGAGACGGTGGAAGGAGGAGGATGAATGGAGCTGTGGCGCTCACCAAGCACACAACCACAACACTGGCGGCGCGCGTGGACGTGGAGGATGAACGATGCGATGGGGATGTTTCCCCGTGCGTAACTAGCCCCGGGGCAGACGGGGTGGGTAGAGGCGAGAATGTGACGAGGCGCTGCTGACGAACGAGCGAAGCGGAGAGCGCAAGGAGAGACGTGGCGATGGGAGGACAGGGTGTGGGGGGGTTGCGAGGGACAAAGCAGAGCGAGCAAGCCACCGTTTTTGTGCCGGCGGCGGCGGCAGGGAGGTGCGAGCAGGAAGGGGAGGGAGGGCTCCCTGTCGGTGTCTCTGTGTGGCCGTGTCTCCGGGTGCAATGTACGCACGCACACACACCGCCACCACCACCACCACAGCTACGCACTCCTCACTCACTCGGTGACTGAGCGCGCACGCGGATCCAGTCTGGGTTCAGCCCCGCCTCGAGCCTCCTCCCCTCCCCCTCCTCGACTGCACGCAACTCCCCACCCTTCTCAACCCAACAAAAGCAAACACGAAACTCACCCCCTCACCCCCAACCGGTCCTACTACGTACATCTCCCCCCCCCGGCTCTCCCTCCTCTCTGTCTCCATCCATCTCTTCCTCGATCCAACTATCTCCTCCTCCCCCTCCTTACAATATCCACCCTGCGTCTCTGCATCCCTCCCTCGCATCATCCCTCCCTCTGCTATCAACACAACCCCCTGCAGATCTCGCCATGTGCTCGGCCCCACGTCGCTCACCCCCCCCCCCCCCCCCCACGTGCCACTATTGCGAGATTTGCCACCGTGGCCACGATAATCGCACGTGCGAGTCGGTTCCACGTGGCGGTTCGCAAACCCCGGAAACGGGATTGTGTTGAAGTGAAGGGTGATGAAGAGCAACCGGATCGATCACCTCCGCATCGCATCATCGCCAGCAGATGACAATAATAATACTGCTCATAATCATAATCAACGTTTTTGGGTTTAGATGGCGTTATTTATAAATGTGTCGTAACTCTCCACCACCAATCAGTAAAAAAGTGTCACGTTGACTGCTACTACCGCATGCTGATGATGTTGAATAAAAGCTTTCGTGACTGCGGGAATTAATATGCTTGGGTCTTTCGGTAAAGTCACGTAGATAGGTTCAAAGAAATTAACAAAATAACAAAAAAAGACTACGTTTCGATCGCAACACGAGCAATCGTCATATCCTGATGACGTAGATATGTTCTTTGAAGAGGTTATTTGAACCTATCTCCGTGACTTTACCAAAAGACCCAAGATGATGATGATGTTCTTTATTTACTCCGGAAAATCTTGAGTCTCACGCATCTCAATGTTACTTTCAGCAACAGAATCCTGCTAACTGTGGCATGTTTGCCCCCAATTCGTGTGGCAGTATTTACCCAGACGAGCCTCGCCGAGTCGCGTGCTGAGTTTTCAAGACGGTCCCTGCCACGTCTGAATTCTGGGCCACTTTCATTGACGACGAGTGCTTTGGCGTCACCACGCACACATTGAATGGTGCGGGTGACATTCTAAGCTATACGGACCGATAGCATCGATCATTTGTCGGACTGCCGTCACCTGGCCATCTCGTCAGGGTTTCCTGGATAAGCTCATGGCATATTGCATGACAGTATTATTATTATAGTAATAGGTGTTTACCCTTTCAACTGGTACAAAAACTGACACCTTTATACAAGGCATCATGTTTGCAATAACCACAACACAAGCAGTCAAAATGCAAACAAAAAGTAACAACTCTGATGATGATAATGATATGCACTGTCCTTGAAGTTGATTGGTCCACACCCGAGACAGCTTTTCTCAGAGCCTAGTCTCCATTGGTGTTGACTCATCAGAGTTGTTTCTTTTTGTTTACATTTTGACTGCTTGTGTTGTGGTTATTGCAAACATGATGCCTTGTATAAAGGTGTCAGTTTTTGTACCAGTTGAAAGGGTAAAAACCTATTACTATATTTTGCCACTGGTAAAGGAGGTCATAGTGTAAATGCTTAACCCGAGCTCTCAATACTCTGATAGTGTGCTGTCTTTGAGTTGTACGCCTTTTGGCGTCATCTGGTCCAACACCAATGGAGACTAGGCTCTAAGAAAAGCTGTCTCGGGTGTGGACCAATCAACTTCAAGGACAGTGCATATCATTATCATCATCAGAGTTGTTTCTTTTTGTTTACATTTTGACTGCTTGTGTTGTGGTTATTGCAAACATGATGCCTTGTATAAAGGTGTCAGTTTTTGTACCAGTTGAAAGGGTAAAAACCTATTACTATATTTTGCCACTGGTAAAGGAGGTCATAGTGTAAATGCTTAACCCGAGCTCTCAATACTCTGATAGTGTGCTGTCTTTGAGTTGTACGCCTTTTGGCGTCATCTGGTCCAACACCAATGGAGACTAGGCTCTAAGAAAAGCTGTCTCGGGTGTGGACCAATCAACTTCAAGAACAGTGCATATCATTATCATCATCAGAGTTGTTTCTTTTTGTTTACATTTTGACTGCTTGTGTTGTGGTTATTGCAAACATGATGCCTTGTATAAAGGTGTCAGTTTTTTGTACCAGTTGAAAGGGTAAAAACCTATTACTATATTTTGCCACTGGTAACGGAGATGTCTCATAGAGTAGTATTATTATTATTGTGAGGATTATAACGGGATGTGGAGCTGTCGAGTGCTCCGACAGTAGCTGTAGCACGCTGCGCTATGAAACCCAGCAAACCCGACCACCGCTTCGGCAAAGTGACATCTGAACTGACTCTGGGACGACACGCAGCACTAAACCAGCGTGAAGTATGATCAAATAACCAACAAAACGTGGTGGGGGTGGAGTGTGGGGGGGTGGTGGCTTCATCCACTATCGCATTGATACCATGACTGTAAATTGTTGTTATTATTAATTATATACTTTCTGTAGAACTGAATCAGCCATGAGCAAAGAGCTAACGCCTACTTGGCCCCGCGTGTTGCCAAAAAACAAGTCCGGACACGCGCGCGCGTAGAAGCGGTCTGGTGCGCGTTGAGAGCGTAACGTTACCTCTGCCGAGTTACTCATTATTGAGGGCGATGCCTTGGTGCAAGGCTTATTTACTACTGCCTTAAGGAACCGAGTCGTTTTGCACGGTGGTGGATTCTTACCAACGGTACAACCGTCCTAGTTTGTGTGCATGTACAGCCGTTTTGGTCGTAGATGCTATATTTCACCATATTTCACCACGCTGGGCGATGCAGATGAGGAACGGGAGCGGGTTTTGATGTCACTCCGTGACCGATGTTAGCCGTGGCTGGGAATCGAACTCAAGTGTTTCAGGTTCATGGCTGGTGTCCCTAACCAATGCGCGCCACCACGATTCCCCTCTCGGCGTGTCAAGCTCTTGACAGATGGCAAACCCGACTCGCTGGCACCCCTACGACACTGGTGAACTTTTTAAAGTGATGTAAATGTTATGTTTGGTGTTGAAGAAAACCCCTCGCCTGGTTCTTATGAATTATGAACAAACTCTCGATATGATAATGGATTTTTTAACCCTTTTATTAGGCGACAAAACTGGCACCTTTTTTACAAGGAGTCATATTTGCATTGACCACAATACCTGCAGTCGTAATGCAAAAAAAACACAACTCTGATAATGTACGCACTGTCCTTGAAATTGATTGGTCCATACCCGAGACAGCTTTCTTTAGAGCCTAGTCTCACATGGTGTTGGACCAGATGACGCCAAAAGGCGCACAACTCAAAGACAGTGCATACATTATCAGTTATGTTTTTTGTTTGCATTCCGACTGCAGGTATTGTGGTCAATGCAATCATGACTTCTTGTAAAAAAAGGTGTCAGTTTTGTTGCCAGATAAAAGGGTAAAAAACAATTATCATATTTTGCTACTGGCAAAGGAGGTTCCAATGGTGTATACTCTCGATACGTTTTAGAATCCACTGCCACAACTTTTATCAATTGGACGTGGGGAATCGCGTGACGAGTGGATAAATGTAAATATAGCCACGACTTATTTAAAGACAATTATTTAAAGACACATTTAAAGCCACCAGCCTGCGACTGGTCACCGTAAACATGTTTCAAGTGAAAGTAAATCATGTTAATCAATGCGCTGCGTTCACTGTGGTGCACACATCTGCAGCCACTAGCGGCCGCATCATTCACCAGAACATTGACGAACAAAAAAATCCGCTCGAAAATCGAACCGCGCGTTTGGTTACGCATCGATGTTCCAAAAAAAAACCCCAAACAAATCCCCATTCATCGTGTTAATGTAAAAACCATTTCTTGTGACCACGTGCAGCCCAGCCACGAGTGGCCGCTACAGTCTTCCAAGCGACGACTCTTAATTGAAAAATCGTCTCATTCATCGAATCGCCCGACAGCAGACAGACATCGGGACTGCGGTAGCTTCCTCGGCCGCCGCTGCTGTTGTTGTTGCTGCCGCTGCTTCTGCCACGGCGTTTCACGTGTTCGCGTGCACGTGGCACGGCCACTAACCACCACCCCACCCACCCCTCCCTCCCTCCTCCACCGACATCATCGGGCGTGACGCCAACGGGATGATCCATTCCGGGATTCCGTCTTACGGCTTTCGGCTCTACCCCAACCCCGACCACTTGTCTCCCGATCCTCCGCCCCAATCTCAGTCTCTCCCCTCTCTTACCAACCAACCCGCCCACCCACACCCCCAGCCAGGCCCAGCCAACCCAGCCTGCATCACTGCCCCCCCCCCACACACAGACACGACTCCCCTCCATTCCCCTCGTGACGGCTGTCACATCTCCACAGCCCACCCCCCACCGCTCACAACCACCCCTCTCTCTTCTAACCTAGCCAGACAATGAGCTCTGCTGCTTCCCTCCATCACTCCCTCCCGTCCTCCATCTACCCCCCTCCCCCCACCGTCTTCTAGCCCCCCCCCCAACTCCAGCAGCTTCCCCTCCCCACCGATCCCCAGACAACGTGACGCGTTGTTGGCACGCGGTGACGTGATGGTCGGGGCGAGTTGTAGCCAATGGGACCGGAGGCAGAACCACGCGGTGCACCCCCCCCCCGCCATCCGCATGGGGGCAGGGGTCACGGGGAGGTGGTGGGGGGAGGAGGAGGTAATGGAAGGTGAAGTGGGACCCGGCTGCATCACAGCCCCCCCCACACCCAGTCTCCCCCCCACACAACCAAACCCCCCCCCCACACCCAGTCTCCCCCCCCCCACACTCAGTCCCCCCCCACACCCAGTCTCCCCCCACACCCAGTCTCCCCCCTACACCCCCCCCACACTCAGTCCCCCCCACACTCAGTCTCCCCCCACACCCAGTCTCCCCCCTACACCCCCCCCCCACACTCAGTCCCCCCCACACTCAGTCCCCCCCACACCCAGTCTCCCCCCCCCACACTCAGCCCCCCCCCACTAAGCCCCAACCACCACCCCCCCACCCCCATAACCATCCA